GAACAATCCTTACACTTCTCAAATTGCTATTCTAACATAATCTTCAGACATTTGCTCATGAATAAAATTTACTTAATAATAAGGTAATACTCCAATCGGGATATTGAAATGAGACAGGTGGGGAATTAAATAGGTACAGAAAAAGGCATCCTTTTTGCAAGGATAGTTTCAAGTAACCAATCTATCTTGCTTACCTCATTCTGGTCATCTCTGATAGCAAAGTAATCCTGATGATCATTAAAAGGAGACGGTACATGATAAACCGTCCGTGTCACACAAGTGTCACAAGTTGACGGAGAACACGAGTAGAGGTTTATGGCGGAAATGGATGAACAAATTGACATTTGATGTTCGATGACACTTTGGATATTCTGCCACATTGTTGAAATGTGGATTACAGAAATGAAAACCAAATGGTGATGAGCCCAAGATTAGAACAATTCCCTTCTACAGAATTTCAGCTCATCTGGAAGAAGCTTGCAGTTAACTAGAGTAATTGAATGAGATCAGACCTCCTCGGTGAACCTGAACAGTGAGATATTAATGGTTGGCCTGACTGAGTGTTCTGTCAGTTTCAGTATACATAAAGCCCACTGAAGGTAAACAGTATTCACCTGAAAGCTGAAGTATCAGGCCTCAGGAAGAAAAAAATAGGGTGCAGCGATTTTGGAGAGAAGAAATAAAAATAATAATCCTTGCATTTGATATAGCACCTTATCATGTAATTGAGACAGCTACACCAACAACATCAACAACTTGGATTTATATAGCGCCCTCCACGCTGGACGCCTTGAAAAAGCGCTTCACAGAATATATTGTCAAGTGAATTGACTGTGCATTTTGAGGATGAAAAACCCAAGCCAATTCCACACAGCAATGTGCCACAAACAGTCGTGGATTGAGGGACCAAGATTTTTTCCCCCATATGTTTTTCATGTGTTATGGTGGAACTTCCAAGTTGCCTTTACACATCTCATCTGCTCTCCACCTAAATCCAATATTATTTTGAATACAACATTGTAAATTTGGACAGCAAAAAACAAGCATTGTTTCACTATGAAGCAGGGTCTGTGTAGGAATGAAGATAAGGCTTGGGAAGATTCACAACTTTGAAGAATGTAAATTGATATTATAGAGGCAACTGACATAAGGTCATGAAACGTCAGCTGGATAGATGAGCTACTAACCACAGAGCAAAAGCGAGATTGCTGTGAGAGCTAAATACTTCCACAAATGCTTATGTTGTGGACAGAATCTCAACAGGAATTACTTGAAACCGATAAGGTTAATAGAAGATTAAGCCATGAAATTGCTCTGGTAACCAATTCGGTTACGCAATGAATTAGCAATGCAGTGCCCTCAGTAATGCATCCTAGGTTGGAATTAGAGAGTTCTATCCTCACTGAGTGGAAACTGCTGACATTCATTTAATATAGAGACCTCACACACAAAAGAAAGAGGAAACCTTCCTATGAATTTTCCAGGCTGGATTTAAACCCAGGCCAATGAGCCAATACACTTTGTACCATGCAATTCCTTTGATAGAAAAATGACCGAAAGAAAACTCCGCAACTCGCTAGCTACTACAAAACAAGTGAATCTGCAGAGATCTAATGGATACTGCATATAATTAAGACCAAATCAATACATAAGGGATCGATAAAGAGAATGGGGGACTGAGCAGGGGAGTGAGGTTAGCTGGTTGATATAGAAAAAATAACAAGAAGACAGATTTGTGGGTCCAATGTGAATGGTCTATCACTGAGCTGGCACTTTATAATTTCATGCGCGGAAAACAAGAAGAAACATACTATGTCAAGATAGGTCAAGGTGTTCAGCAATGACCATGACTATGAATGGGAGCAAAAAAAACAGCCTAAAAATGTCAACAACAAATACAACAACCTGTTTCTTTTTTAATGTACCATTCAGCAGAGGATATGGCATCATTCGCAGTTACCTGACTTTGAGATATGATTGTGAGTGTCTCTTGATTAAAAGATTCCTGGAACAGAGCAGAGTTATTTAATTATCTCAAGTCGTATCACACTGGGCAGCAAGATCTGGGAAGTGACATGACACCTTATGTTGCCAGTGAACTTTGTTTGCTCTCCAGTCTGAGAAATATATTTTTTGGATCTTGTGCATATAGATTAGTTACACATACCATTCTGTTTCCAATAGTTGTCGTATTTCTGCTTGAAAGTGTGGAGGATGCTAGGAAACCAATGGGACAGTATCTAATATCCCTTCAGGTGGCAGAACATGTGGTTGCAAAACAAGGGCAAAATATCCTTGACACCTACTAAAACAACATCAATGAGTACCTTGTGCAGACGGGGGTGGCAGTCAACAGATGCATTATATTTTTATATCCAACTGTGGTTTATATTGCAACTATCAATATAAAGGTCCATATAGACCTATCCACTCCCTTTACTCAGTGGGCTCCAGCCTGCTCCTTGCCCCCCGCCCTGCCCACCCCACCATCGGCGTTTTCAGCCTCTCTGCCCCACCCTTTGGAACTCCATTCCCGAGTCCCTTCACCTCATTCCCTCCCTTGCTTCCTTCAAGTCTTCTCTCAAAACTCTCCTCTTCAACCGCGCTTTAATCACCCTCCTACGCCTATCCTTCCTGCCCTCCATCCCTCCTGATCCCAACCCCCAGCTCAGATTCAAATTCCTAACTGTTCAGCACCCTGGGACGTCTTCCCAACATGAAAGGCGCTATACAAATGCAATTTGTTGTTATTATCACAAAAAAGATTTAAAAAGTGAAGAATAAGTTTACATTTTAAAAACAATTCAACAGGAATGTTGGTATAAAGCTGAGGAAAAGTCCATTTGACTGCACGGATAAGGTTGAGGTGTAGTAAGAAAATGTAACAGTCAAATGCAATGCTAAAATTAATTGAAGAAATTCTATTAATTGCTTTCAAATGGGTGCTCGCTTTGTGTAAAATTCAGGGAAAAGAAGTTGCAAAATTTCTCTTTGATCAGTTCCCTTGCTTTAAACCCCGTCTCCAGACAAATGGATTCCATATTGCCTGCATTGCTATTAAAATCAGTGATCACTTCCTTAATAAGCAGTTTGCAAACCATGATGTCCATGTATTTAGCAACTCATTAAAATAAAGTGTGTGTTTGCAAAGAGCCAAAATGCAATCCAATATTCTGTGCATATAGTTATCCTCACAGACTTTGAATTATGAGAATGCCAAGCCCTTGATCAAAACCAAATTTATTTTACTAAAGATACTTTTAATATGACAATCTAGAATGTCAGTTTGTTGGTACACAATTTCACCCACAAAAAATACAGTCAATTCACTTCACAGTATATTCTGTGAAGCACTTTGAGATGTCTAGAAGACACGATAAGGCACTACATCAAATGAAAAGATTATTATTATTATAATTACTAGAGTGCAGAAGGTTCATTATAGTGTCGTATGAGGGGAACAGAAGGAGTCTGATCTGTCATTTCATTATGGGGATGAAATAGGTTTAAGGCAAATAATAAAAGATTGAATTTTTCTCCTCTGGCCAGATTCCCACCATTGACTTTGTAAATTTGAATTTCTCTGTGATAGCGAAGGGATTGGGAGCATATAATTCCATCCAGTTTTTTTTTTAGTGGGAGAAATTCGACTCGGATATAAATTTATTCTACCTTCTTAACTTTTTAAGAGAGGTCAGGATTTAATGCAAGTTGATGCATTCAAACTCAACTTTGAAACTCATTTTTCTGCTAGTTCTTAAAGGAAGGTTCTGGAAAACCGGCTTGAAAACGCAGCCTGTATTTAAGAATTAGCCAACTTCTGGATTCTCAAAAGGAGCTCACGTTTGGACCAAGGTGGAATCTCTCATCCGAAATTTGTATCTTAAATTTGAATCTTAGAAAAACTGCAGAAAAACAGCTTCTTAGATAAATTAAAGCATTTTCCACAGTTCAGCTCAATGTTACATTTTAAGCTAAAATAGTTTACAGGCTGGAGCTATTTGAATTTCAGGCCTCCTTTTGACAATAGCTGTTGAGCATTTACTACTTGGATTAATGGAAAAGAGTTGTGTTAGTGCAGGTGTCAATGCATCTGTTGATGGTAAAGATCACTTAAAAGCTGATTTTCTCCCATTGGTAGACTCAAATTTTTCCTCAACTCTGATAATACACACAACCACGCTGCTCTCTTTGGAGTCATGAAGTGAATAACTATTTTTTTATCTAGGTGATTGTTGGCCAGGACAACAAGAGAAACTCCCTTCTCTTTTCGAATAGTGCCATGGGATCTCTAATGTTTAAATAGATGGGACCTGCTTGGGCATTACACACACCATCCACCTCCGACAATGTAGCCCTCTTCCAGCAATGCACTGGACTGTCAGTCTAGACTGTGAATTCAAAGTCCTGACATAGGCTTGAACCCACAACATTCTGACTCTGAGGCGAGACTGCAACCAACTGAGACAGACTGACAACTAATAGAGTAGCAGCTCCAGTAAGAAACATAGCAGTTCCATTCCTCGTGAAACTAATATATTGCAACGGCAACTTATTTTGGTCATTGCTGACTTGAAGTGAAATAAACATCTACCTAAGTCACATGGAAAAAAAAACAAGTCTGCAGATCTGTCACACTGAGAGCTCAATGTCAGCTGTAACTGTCATGAGAAGCTTCTAGAAAACATAAATAAAGTAACGGGGCATAAACAAGACAATCCTTGACCTGATCTTCATCCTCACGGAAAGAGAAGTGAAAATTTGAAAACTTTACATGTTAGATCTTAGCGATTTATCCAGTTATCGTACCCATTTTAACGCAAGTACCTTAGAGGGACATTAGGAATAATTTTCAAAATTAAATGTCCAATCAAAATATTATTAAACTAAATGTTTTTAAAAAAATACATGTGGATACTCTAGCACAACAACAACAACAAATTCCATTTGTATAACGTGTTTCACATCAGGAGGGCATCCCGAAGATTTGAGCTGAGGGTTGGGATCAGGAGGGGTGGTTGGAGATAGGTGGGTGACCAAAGGCACAGTGAAAGAGGATGGCCTTGAGACAAATATGCTAAAGTATTCTTTTGTCATTCTTCGCAAAGAGGTAAAAATTATATTCGGTGTTAACAAGCAGAGTTTTGGCAATGTGCAACAAAAATGGGAAATCGTGTTAGTGGCCGATTTGGCCAAAATGTGTATTACTCTGAATGAAATATTCTTATGCAGGAAAGAGGTCAATGTCCTATTATAAAGCTCTATTCTAGTTAATGAACTGTTATAAAAAAGCTTTCTAAATTGGATAGTGAACAGCATAAACATTTTTAATGGGGTATAAGTTTTAAAAATGCTGATGAAAAATACATTTTATTAAAAAGGATTCAACTTTGCTTCTCAACAGGAGCTCTGAGATCTTACCCTGAGTGAGGGGTGCTATATAAATGCAGGTTGCTGTTGTTGTTCTCTTAATAGTCTCCTCATGTCAATGGCTTAAATATAGGCCAAATATACCAGTAAACTGAAATGGCTTGATGAATATCTTACTCCAAAATTGTTTTTGCCTGTATCTGGCTTTAGTAAATCGTAAAGTGTCTTGTCTATGCAGATTGACTTAAACGTAACACATTGAACTTTGCCAATAAAATAAAGTTGTTTGTTCATTGCAGCATGTTCTGTTCTGCTGGCTATTGGGAAAGGGCAGGAAAATGGGACCGAAAGTATTGCTTTTAAAAGAGCCAACATGAACTTGTTGTGTTGAATATTCTTGTAAATTTCTATGGTTCAATATTGAAATATATCAATAGGAAGACCCCGGGTTTAATCCCTTTGGCTTTGCTGTAGGTGTGCATATCTCAACCACTAGAGGAGAAAACTAAAATAAATTGGTCTAAAACATACTGGACAGAAATCCATTGCTTCCAGTGCTTGTGCCAGATGCTAAAAGCAATACGATGAGCCATGGCACTAAAATATAATTTTGTTCGGCAGTATACTTTCATGTTGGATGGATATTTAAATCTGCACATAACACTTCAGCTAAGCAGGGAATTATCACTTCATACTGCCAAATGTAGCATAACTTGAGTTAGGCCAAATCATGGCACTGAGCACTTTAATATAATTTCGGAAAAGCGTTGTGCTGGATTGATCACATAATCCTCAATGGATTGTAAACAAATAAGATTTAATCTTTGTTAACCTTTGGGAAACAAATTGTAAATAGAGAAGGTGAGTTGCAGGCTGAGCCTCTCAATTCTTCTCCAAAAACAATCTCAGACCTGAAATTTGACCTAGTTTCTGCCTCTAGTCCAGTCTTAGTCTCAGCCTATTTTGTCTTAAAACTGAAGATAGGACAGAATTGTGGAAAATTCTTCAATTCAGTCTTAATTTGGAAGCTGGTTGTTGTCCCGTTTTTCTAAAGAAATGGCTACTGAGTTAAATCTGAGTTGATAGATTTTCTGTGATTCTGCGCAGTGTTAATTATAAAGATGAAATGGTCTTACAGGTTAAGTAGAATTTTTGGTCCCTCATTTTTGAACCCAGCAGTCCCTTATGTCAACAATACAGGTCCTTTGTCAGCTCCCCAATGGTGCACATTTCGCCCTCCGGCCAACATAATTTGGTGGCTTCGGAAACTATTGACTCTGTTCTGACCTTTCAACCAGCTAAAATTAGGACTTTCACTATTTTAGCAAATATCCGAAATTCGATCCCATTAACGTTCACAGTTTGCACCCTATGTAATAACACAACGAAGATTAGAATACTAAAATTGCAATAGATTCCAGTGAAACTCACTTTTGTTGCAGGAATATGATAGATCATTGTCACAACAAGTCGCAAAAAACAGATTTTCAAAATTAAATTGTAGACATTTAAACGAGTATCATTTTGACTGCATTTTTCAAAGTGTTTTATTCCACACAATCTTGGTAGGCACGGAAGCTGCAACTGTGGGTGGACTGAAGAGGCTTCTCCCAGCTGTGGAAGAAAAATAAAGAGATCTCTGGTGATGTGGGTTAATCCGCTCCAATAAGTTAGCTGTACAAGATTGAAACAGATTTAAGAGAGGATTACAAGTTACTTAAAGAGAACCAATTATATATTAATGAGTGCACGCTACAATTGTGCCACTTAATTAAACCATTATAAATCTTATTTAAAATTCTTGTATATATTGGCATATACTTAAAGGGCAACATTTGTCACTGTTGACTTAGATTTTTGAGGTGGAGGTGTAAAATTCCATTTTGAATTTGTAAATTAATTTCAGTTTCCCAAAAGTTATATTACTCTCATAATGGTGAGAACAAATGAAACTAAAGACTGATCCAACTCTCCTAATGGCTGATTTGGCCAAGCACCTGTCTCAAATGAAACAGCCATGAAGACCTGAAAGAAACACGTGGTTTATGCTGATTCAAGGGCTCTGAGATTCTACTCTGCATGCAAGGCATTGTATAGGTGCCGGTTATTATTATTATTGATTTAGCTGATCTCAATTGGGTAGCAGAAGCAATGGTACAAATAGCATTTGTTCTGCCTACAGCACAATTTATCCAAAACAGGCAAAGTGGAATAGGATATGTCGTTTTCGCATGTGACACTGTGGGGGAGAAGCAAGAAATGTTTTGAGTAAAGTTGTTGAATTCTGTTTTTAACTTTGAAGTTGAACTTTCTGTTGTTCGTAAAATTATTTATATACTATTGGGGATATTATATTATTGTCCTCACCTCATGTCGACATATACATTTACGTTATGTCCACATTTCCATGAGGCTTCTGCAAGAACTGTGCCAAGAATGTTGATAAATCTGTACACATCATGAAAGGATATGTAAAGTGGAACTGGAGCGATTCTTAAGACATTTGGTTCTCGCTTGTCACACTGTGGGGGAGAGGAAAGAAATTTTTTTATTTTGTATAATAATCCTTGCATTTGATATGGCGCCTTATCACGTCTTCGAGACATCTCAAAGCACTTCACACATTTTTGAATATTGGCTCTTGAGATTAATAGTCCAGTGAAATGTCTGGTGAGTGCTGAATTAACAGAGATGTGTCCATCGACTTTTGGGATAGAGAATAGATCTCTTTTTTGTGCCTTTTTTAGAATTCCTTAGAATATTTGTGGAGTCCTGTAGCTCAGTGGTTAGAGCACTCGCCTCTCAAGCGAGAGACTTGGGTTTGATTCCCAGCAGGGTGAAACCTTGGGCAAATTTCCTTACTCCACACGCCTAATAATAATCCTTCAAGAAAACAAAATTGGTCACTTCAATCCACAACTGTTTGTGGGACACTGCTATGTGCAATTGACTGTTGTGTTTCGCCCACAAATATACATTCAATTCACTTTACAGTATATTCTATGAAGCGCTTTGAGACATTTAGAAGACATGAAAAGTGCTACATCAAATGCAAGGATTATTATTATATTATTATTTTTACACAAAGCTGCCATGCAAAAATAAAATTAATCCATGTGTGAATTAAATTTCAGAATATGTACCACAAGTATGTTCTTGCTCATTCATTGAATGTATTCAGCACCATGATACAGTTCAACAAAACGGATTAACACAGTCAATGTAGGCAAACTATTCATTTGTGGTGAAGTGTTCAAATATCAGGGGTTAAAGTTACAAAAAAAGTTTCAGAGTGAGAAGGGAAATCAGGCAGAACATTTTTATTGAAGAATAAAAGACTTAGGAAATACGTTGTAGCCAAGACTCACTTGGAATATACTATATTGTAGAGAAAAGGGAGGTGGCAAATTCTAAGATGAATGCCAAGACTAGACTAATGCTACATGAAAGAACTTGATATCTTGAATCATGAGACTATGACAATAACAGTAACTATATGAAGGATAACTGTATATTGAGCAGTGAGTGACAGGAGTTGGGACATAATTAATGAATACCAGAATTCAAATTAAAGTCTATCATTTCACAAAAAATATGAGAACTCATGAAACATTTTCAGTATTGTGCATATATCCATGCCTAAATCATTAATCGGCATTGCTTAACTGTGTTAAACATGAAATTTAATTATTTCCATACTCTTTTCTCAGAGCAAGTTACATTATTTTCACATGTTCCTGGACTGAGTTAATCTGCTGTGCTTTCCCATTTTGGCTCAGTTGGCAGTTGTTTTAATAATTGTTAATAACAATAATTGTTTTAACAGTTGTTAATAATAGGCTTCATGGAATTCATAAGAGGGAAACAAGACCTGTGTGTGGTAATCATTAAGGCCTAATGATTTGTATTTCAAGGGTTTTTATAAAGTTGCTTCAATTAGAAGTGAGTGCTAAAAAATTTAAATAAGTTTTCTTCCTTTTTCTGTGCCTTCCTTCCTTCCTTCCTTCCTTCCTTCCTTCCTTCCTTCCTTCCTTCCTTCCTTCCTTCCTTCCTTCCTTCCTTCCTTCCTTCCTTCCTTCCTTCCTTCCTTCCTTTCACTCTCTTTGTCACTTTTACAGATATTGACCAATAACAAGGACAAACAGTCTGCTCCCAAGCATTGATTCCATCTATAATGCATTCTCAAGGAACTTCCACACTGATCACATTCATGAAATAACATAGCTATGCCTAAGTCAGAAAGGAACAATAACATCGAATATCTACTTACTACAACACCTCTTTTCTCCAGCTCTTTGAAGACAAATTTGATAGGCACTGAAAACGCTAGTGAGAGTTGGCATCCTCGTTCTTCAACATTAGAGGGAGTAATTATATTCAAATATGGTTTCTGTGGATTATCAGGATCCTTTGAGAAGTAATGCTTGATCAGGTATTCTAAGTAACCAGTAAGCAGCACAGATTTCCGCCTCAGTGATTTCTTATCAGTCTGATTGAAGACCTACGAAGCAAATATGTAGATCAACACCATAATATTTGCTTGAGATGCATAAGAAACAAATCAAATATTGCAGCAAGATAATGATGAATTTGTTTGTGAATGAAAAATTCCACTAAAATTCCACCCCTCCAAAAATTCCCTCTCTCATATCCAAGCACAGTATATCTGTGTGATATACTATTAGTTACCAGAAGGAATCCCCTTTTGTTACTCGGACTCCCTTAATAGGTATAAGACCTTTTAAATCTCTGTGTTTTAGATCCAATTTACAGGGTCCTTCACTCTATCACGAATCAAAAAAAAACACACTAATGCTCTTCTGAAATTGTCCCAAATTCTCAGTTGGTAAAAATCATTGCATCTGCTTTCAACATTTACTCTCAATGCCCATGGCTTTAGAGGAAGATAATAATAAGTTAGGAACCCTCACTTCTGTTCAGACACTGTTGAAAGTTATGCATCAGGTGAGGGTAGGATCGGTTTCCTCCAAAGTTGAATGGCGTGCTGATATTCATTGTCTGGAGGTAACCGTGGAATCAACAATAACTACAACAAATTGCATTTATATACCACTTTTCACATTGGAAGGACGCTCCAAGGTGCTGGACAGTCGAGGGTTTGCACCCAAGCTGGGAGTTGAATTGGGAGGGTGGGAGGGGTAAAGGAGTGGGGTGGAATCAAAGGTAGCATGAGCCATTGCTTTCACAAAAAGAGGGTATAAAAGGAGGGAAAGTTGAGGAGGGAAAAGGAAAGGTCCAAAATTCTTAATCAAATTGCATTTTTTCAATGCCTCCATCTCCCTGTTCCATTTCATTTCACACAGTAATACCCTATATAGATTTTCATCAACAAGCTAAATTATCAAATCATGTGCACTTACCTCTAAGGTAGCCTGCAGTGGACAAACCAATAAAATGGGAGGATTTGATATTCGAAAGCCATTCACCCCAGGACTCAGGTTCAATACTAATAAAGATAGCAAGAAACAAATTTGGATTTCAGTTTCTTTTGCACATTCTGTAAATAAACAATTGCCATCCATGGGGTCGAACTTTTTGTGATGTGATAATTCTGCCAAACTACACCAAAAGTTTAAAACACAAATATTGCATCTAAATGCAAAATAGCCCCCGCACCCTCCCAACTTTCCTGCGGACTGGGAATTATCACTTGCTGTGGTTAACTTATTTAAAAGATGTATAGATTTTTTCAAACGTTGGATTCAGCCAAAGAAGATAATTTCATTTATATCACGATTGATCTAGGAATTATGAAAATGTAATTTCAAGGGGAAAAATGTTCAGTTTTAAAAAAGGCAGTTTGATCCCAGGTAAGCACATGTTCATCATGAATATCAAATATGTTATATTATGCAAGTAACATCTTTTTAAAAAATCTGGCAATAAAATATATCTTTTCAACTTAATTTCAATAATTCTTTGATATAGCCCTACACATATTCTTTTCATTGAATTACAAATGATTAAATCCTGTGCGTAGTTACTTACCATTGTCCATCTGAAATCTTGTTTCCATTTTATGGCTCCACCATCCAGTCAATCTGAAAGTAAGTCAATACAAGGTTGTTTGAAATACGGTTAAAATACTTGACCATTAACTCGGCAACGGAATGAAAATAAAATGACTTTGCGCTATCTTTGTGTGTACAGTCAATTCACTTTTACTGTATATTCTGTGAAGCGCTTTGAGACGCCTCGAAGACATGATAAGGCGCTATATTAAATGCAAGAATTATTATTATTATAATACAGTTGGTGTGCTGTTCGGAAAAAAATTATTTTGTTCTGTTATAGTTCAAACTGCTTGAAAATCCTTTCATTTGTATGAAGTACATTGTGCCTCTATTTTAACAAGCTTCCTCCTTGTGCTGTTTATATCATGGTTACACTGTGGATACCATTCATCTCACAGGCACACAGTCAGCCTGCTCAAGCAGTCACTGCACTTTACAGCAAAATCCTACCTGAAGACTGGTAAGCCATAGGTTTACTGTATCAGAAGTAAATTGTGCATCAATATATACTGAAATCAAACCTCATGTATTTTTGGAAAGAGGAAAGAGGAAGCATTTATCCAATGTGCAGCTTTTTGCATAAGATTAAGAATGAGACTGGTATAAATCTCCAGTTAGCATATTCACTGATTCACATGAAAAATAAAGATGCCGCTTGCTACCAGATAGAAAATGCGTTGCAAATCTCAGTTAAATAAGAATATAGTGTATGTTTAATAATAATAATCCTTGCATTTGATATAGTGCCTTGTTACATCTTCGTGATGTCTCAAAGCGCTTCACAGAATATACTATAAAGTGAATTGACTGTATATTTTGTGGGCAAAACGTAAAAAGCTCAAAACCATTTCCAACTTTCATTGAAAAACATACTATTAAAACAGCAATGTAGGTGCAGTAAATGTTTGTTGTAGATACATACGTAGGTTTAATATTATGGGCATGTTTTTCATGTATAAATGCTCCACCCAAGCCTCCAGCGCCAGAGTTCAGATACTATGGTAAAAAGAGTTATATGTCATTTACACCATTTGTCTTTAATTTTAACAGATCTATTTACTTACAACTAAACAAACAAAACTTTTGCAACGCAATTTGTTTTAAATCTCGATGTATGAAAAGGCTTGCTAACAATCTAAGAGTACAATAGAACAGGGGAAAAAACATACCTTATAAGTACACCAGCAGGCAAAGTCTACTCCCCAGTCATGTAAATATATTTCTACATTTCCAACAGCATGCGCAAGGTCAAAGCCAACGAAACATCCCTGTAAAACACAAGATACTGAATGATTTAATCTCATGGCATTTTGGTCAAATGCACATATTTATCTTACAAAATACACAGTTGCTGGACATTAAAATATCTGTTTGGCATTTAGAGGTTTTAGATATCCCAAAGAATTAAGATGTGGAGTCCTGTAGAGTATTAGTTGTAGCATTCACCTCGCAAGCAAGAGGACACGGGTTCGATTCCAGGGCAGGCCAAAATCTTAGGCAAGTTTCCTGAGTCTGTTTACCTCGGAGTAAGCAGGAATCCGGTTGTTTGTTGATTGGCGGATCGCTTTCCGGGGATAGTAATCCCATCCCCCACCAAAAAGAATAATAATAATTTGGTCACTCAATCCATCACTGTTTGTGGGACAGTTGGTTGCCGTGTTTCTGCCACAAAATATGCAGTCAATTCACAAGTGCTTTGAGACGATTTGTTAAGGCGCTATATCAAATGCACAGATTATTATAAGATGAATGACTATTTTACAAATCGTTTAGTTGAGTGGAAAGACATTGTATAGAGACATGCTTCCTATTATAATGCTTCGGCAATATATATGGAAAATGTCTTGCTGGGTAAAGACATTCTTTCCATGGATGTTTAAGATTTGGTGGATCACCTCACATGTGCTGAACTCATGACAACCATGTGTTTTTGCAGCAAACATCTACATTAATTCAGCAGGGATTGCCACCTTTTTGCTTATTTACAGCAGAGAGCCATTAAAAAACTCTCAACCAGCCAACTGCCAAGCAGCACTCCACCAGCACTTGAACTTATGAATGTCTATTTCATAATGGCACCAAGAATAAAAAAAACACACACACTGTTGAGGTAATGGAGGTGTTCATTCACTGAGCCCATGCCAAACATTCTCCAAGTGCACATAAGGTTCTTTATCTGATCCATAATGTTGGCTGCGTGCAAGGATGTGGCTTGACACAATCCTGGTAAAGTAAGAAACACAAGTACTAGAAGTACTTGGATTTAAATTACTTCTCCACAAGATAACCTCTGCATTTAAAGACCAGGAAATTGCATTTAGTTGGCATTCAGCCTTTGGCCGTCAGGTTCCACAGTTTGAGTCTGGTGTTCAAATTCACCACAGCCTTTCCTCCTTTGAATCAGTTGGAACAAACACACAATATTTGGGGGAGGGGTAAGAACTCTGCAGAGCTATAGCAGTAAAATCAAGAGCATCTCTCTCGATCTGAGACTCAGTGTGACACAAAATACTATTACTGTGAAAGAATACAAAATTAAATGCTTTTCTGTGCCAACGTCGCTCCTTTCCTCTATTAAAACTGTACAGAAGGGAAGAACAAAGAAAAGGCACACTGTTTAAAACAGCAGTATTCTTTGAAGGGCTAGATATAGAGACTCCATTTACTTTATATGTGAAACAATAAATCGACAGCATCTTGCAGTTTTTCAGTGCACATCAGGTAGCAGAACATCTTGAACTGGTTGAGGGTTCGTAAAATATACCCAATAATAGCTGTAGTAACAGAATTGATAATTCATTGTCAAGTTCATTAAAATCTGACTTGAGAAAATATTGCGTACTAATTAGTTATTTGTTTTTAGTCGTAAATTACGCTCCAAAGGCTTTTAAATTGCAATTAACATTTGCTTTTTAAGTTGCTCCATCACAAGCAGATTTGGATTTTAATGCACTTAGTAAAAAGATCAGGACAAACAGACAAAATAAAAACACGTAGATTCTATATTTTAACAGAAAAAATATGTAATAAAGATTTTTGCAGTAAAAGTATCTTAGTTATGGAATTCTGTTCAGTGGGTTCTAACTCAGAGACATTTTTAACTTTCTGAATTGCTATTGAACATACTGCAAATCAGTTAATGAGGCCACAGCTGTGGAGACATTTGGATCCAAAGGAAATTCAGAAAAAGCTGAAAACACTTTTTGTTCAGCAAACATCGCTGAAACATTTTGCATGTCCAACTATCCTCTAGATGGCAGTAAGATCTAATATTTAAAAAAGGCAACAAAAGGGTATGATATTGAAAGGATATGCATCTGCTTATGCATCTTAAGTTTGCCCTTTCAGAAGTCCACCCCCTGAGGCTTATATGCTTCACTGCTATCAGTGTGCAATAGACAAGGTGGTTCAAAACTATCTTGGGATCCTCATGCAGAAAGTAAAGTAAGCCTTAAAGGGTGGTCATCTGCCCCTGCTCTTTGTGGGGAAGGCAAACATGATTGATTAATGTAAGCTTCTTGCCTTAAGTAGGCCACATTATTTTTTGCATTCTTGAAGACACTGACTTGCTTATAAACTATGATAATTGCCCTTCAGCACCTTGTGCAAGTGCACAATGATAATCCTTGTATTTGATACAGCACCTTATCACGTCTTGAGACATTCAAACCGCTCCATAGAATATACTTGGAAGTGAATTGACTGTATGTTTTGTGGGCAAAACACGGCAATCAATTGTGCACACAGTCGTGGATTGAGTGACCAAATTATTATTATTACTTTTTGAAGGGATTATTAACCCCGGAAAAGCGATCCGGCAATCGAATAACAACTGGGTTTCTACTTGCTACTATGTAAATAGAGGCATGTGATGGGTTGTGAATGTTGACAAGCTATTCAACTGTGATGGGCATCAGAGCTGAGCTTAGTCCTGTGTTCGGCTGTTGTCCATCCATGTACGCTTTCCAGTATGGAAACAGGATTTAAAAATCTGCCACAATCTAATAATGTGGTGGAACAAACTCAATTAGCTGAATTCCTGCCCAGATCACCTTGCTCAACACACACCCTAAATGCAATATACCATAGTGGAATATAGTCAGGCAATGTGGGGAATCATCTGTGCCATTTCCCATATATTCTACATTTTTATAAAGATTTAGAGGTAACATTTTGAAAATAACCTCCGTACGTACCATGATAGCCAAATAGCTGTGCATTGAAAGGATTGTTCTTTCACCCTTTCTTTATCCTGTAATTACATGAGCAAAACCTCACTGTTTTCATGGCTTACATAAAGCCACTCCATTTGCCTTCTATGAGCTAGATCTCATTGTGACACCAACACAATCCTTCATATGAAATGACACAAACAACAGCATGTGTCAGGAGAAGAGGTCTCCTTGTTTTTGAGACTAGTGGCATTTATAAAATATCAACTCCTACATACACTGTATTTCTGCTCATCCCCTCACAGTTTAATACTGCAGAATGGAGGAAGAATTCCTGATCTCAACTGCACTTTTAGGTAAAATTTACCAAAGAAAGAAAAAAGCACTGTTGCTGAGGAAGGGAAGTTGTTTTTCAACTAAAATTCACAGACTTTTCTAAGGTAGTTCCCAGCAGACTGAGTCATTGGCAGAGATCAGACCCTAAACAAGCTTCTTCAGTCAGGGGAAGAGAAACAGGAAGGGTATCACATTCCTTCTATTGTGAATTGAAACTAACTTGTATGAAACAAGAGGCATATAACATATTTTTGCATTGAACTCAGAGTAACTGTCTATCAGCTCAAATCAATTATTGATGTCTGGAGAGGCATATCTTGAGTGGTGAGGTGTTTTTTTGACATATAAAGTAATTCTTGAATATGTATCAGTGCTTTTGTCAGTTCATTTGCCAGTCAATCTTATGACTTAAGATGTTATGATCCAATTTTCCGGCAACGTGTGAGGTAATGTACAATGGCAGAGGGACAAAAAAATAATTAAGGATAGTAAAATAACATTCAAGCACTCTGGATGGAGTTGCTTTAAGACATTTTTTTCAGAGAAATAAATCAGACTTTACTATAAAACTGTTGCTCAGTTTAACTAATTAATTCAAAGGCTCGTGTCCCCAATGGCCAACATGGAGCTGTGAGGGAAGCTGTCTGACAATCTTTCTGAGACCTACAAAGATGGGAGATTCTCCCAATGTTCTCATGTTACTGTTTCCAAGGTTTAAAAAGTGTGTTTTGGTTTTGTTCCCCCAAAGCATGGTTTATCGCACACAGAAGAATTATATAGAAGAATTGAGAAGCACTGTATGATATGTCTGTAGACTGCCAATTGGGTGGAATGATGGAAGGAGTCAAATGCAAATCAATATTGTTCAATTTCTCACACTAACTGGCTCCCACTGATGTACTTATTAGCTCGCCAAAATCTTTTTGCAAGATCTTGAATTTGGAATGCAATTAGCTTTTAAACCAAGACTCTTTGTGGGACTTTGCAATGAGCAAAGTGGCTGCCCCATTTGCCTGCAAAATACACAGTTGCGACCTTTCCCAGTAAATCCTATGAAACTCTTTGAGATGTCCTCCCAAAATGAAAGGCGTTATATCAAATGTGGGGATTATTAATATTATTGTTACATACAATCTAAACATATTTTTGATGCACTTCAGCTGCAACAAATCTCCATTGCCTAGTTCTTGGTTTGAAATGGAGATTCCACCTTGAACAAGACGATCTTAATTTAAAATGTATGGAACAGCTTTTTAAATCTTGATGTTCTAAAACGTCCAAACTTTCAACTAAAACCTTATTGAAATTGTCTACGGTTTCCTATTCATTTTATGTAAGAAACTGTTTTACACATTGTTTCAGACTTAATAGCATCTCTCATTTACTTCAATCATTTTCCCCCTGAGAGTACACTCTATACATGGCCATAATAATGTCAAACATCTCAAAGCATCCAAACTGTTTATGCCAGTACTTATTTTAACATATAATAAAGTACTGCTCTTTTTCAATTGTATTTTCCATTTAATCATGTTTAAGTGTCTTAGTAGTCTACAGGATGTAAAAGCACCTTAATTATAGGTGTCTTTATATTAAGCCTCAATCCCAGACTACTTGGTACAAAATGGGGTGCGTGTAAATCACATTTCAATGCCTATACACTCTGGATGGAAATATTTCAGATTTTCAAGGTTTGACCTTTAACTAACAGCAGATGGCCAAAGGAGGGAGGTAGTGCTCACATATATTCATTAAGTGCA